TGTTAGGTACCATTAAGTTGAGTAAAACGCGTAGTAACCCTACGAACAACAGATCCGAACCCTGTCCTGTGCCATCCTCATCGTCTCTGACAGGCTGTAGCCCATGGTTGTAGACACAGTGACAACTCATATTGTTGAGGGTCTTCCACTCTTTTGCTCACTCATAATTAAATTCTGCAATAAACTTGTAAAACTGGAACTTGCATAAGTTGGAATCTTGTCAGAGAAGGAAAGTCCAAGTATTTCCACTAATCAAACGTGATAGAAAACGGATAAAATTGCATCCTGTTAAAAGATGAAAACTTGCGAGACACTGAAATAGAAGACAGAATAATCAAATTCCAGCTTTCATAAATATCACTGTATTTTGGAGCATGATGGATATGGGGAAAGCACTTTTTTTCTCACATTTGTTGATTTAGTCTTCATTGATTCAAGTAATTTCCTAAAAGCCAAGTACTCTGTGCTTAGGACGAGATGGTGAGTCTGCACCTGTGTGTGTATGCCTGTGATTCAAGGATACGTGTAATGTTTAGGATTGATTTTAAATAAAATATTTTAAAATAGAAAAATAGGTAAGAGACACATCAATAATAATTAATGAAACACCTTTAAATTTATATCTCAAGTGTATGATGACTCACACAATTATTAAAATGTTACTGTTAGACATTCAAAGAAAGCTTTTACAGTACAGATTCACCAAAGGCTTAGTACTACCGATATTTGTCAGAGGTTCTTAGTAATACTTATTAAATATTATTCTTTTCTCTGGAAATTTGTCATTGATTATACAGCTCACTGAACCTTCTTTCTGCACAAGAAGAAAAGAAGTGATCTTGTCATCTAATATCTTATTCAGAAACAATTGCAGAACTATAGTTATAACATCTACTCAGTTATAACATCACAGGCACCTTGAGTAGTGTAGTGGTAAGAAGCTGTGCTGAAGTTCTAAAGGCACATGGTTTGAATCCACCAGCTGCTCCTCCAGAGAAGGATAGGCAATCTCCTGTGCAATTAACTGACTCTGAAAACCCCTGGAGGCTCAGCCATGAGTTGGTTTTGACTCAGCAGCACACAACATCACTGCTAAAGAACAGTCAGACAGGGAAGGATAGAAAAGAAATATATATTCCAAAATCTTCCTACTCTAATAAACAGAGAAGTCCATTAAAACAAATTATCTTATTCATTTATGTAGCCTAAGACAAAGAGTATATTATGCAATATAGTAAAATTTCCACCCTTATCTGTCTTCCCAAAAATGACCGATTCACTTTAAATTACGAAGTAGTTCAAATAACGGGAAAATTTAAAGCAAAACCCTAGAATTTTGCATATCTACAAGACATTGATCCACCAATGATCATAAATTAGTGCTGAGTGCTGTGTTTGTTTCTAAAAGAGATATCAATTGAGATCCCATAGAAGTAGTCAATATCTCTGTTGATATTTGTCAATATTTGTCCATTAGCTAATTCTTCTGACCTTGAGAATGAAAGTGAGTCCTGGACATTGATGACATGTTTGAAATGGAAAGGATTTAGGTATCAATCCAGAGTGACTTTGATCTGTTACACCAACCTCTACTGAGCATCAGTGGAGTAAATAGCAATTGAATAACAGCATCATGGGGAAAATGAAGCCCAAGTATCTGAAATCATTTTAGGTATAGGTTTCAGGAATGTACTTCTCATCATTTTGTTTAAAAACTATTTGAACATTTATTTTAGAATGGATCATAGTCTTGTGTTAAGATCATCACCAAAGCCAGTGATCAAGTAAATTAAAAAAATAAAATAAAAAAATTTAAAAAGGCAGCAGTGCTAAAATCCCAGATAGTATTATAAATTTATTAATCAAATTTGGTCATATGATTTAGAAGAAACCAAATAAAGAGGCTGTATACTCTATTGTTACAGACAACCATACAATTTGCACATATGAAGTAAAATAGACTTTAAATTATTTTAGGTATATATAGTTCTAAATTTAATAAAACAGACCCATATTTCCTCATACGTTGTTGTCTGCCATCATTAGAACTGACCCCTAGCTGACCCCTTACCCCAGCCTGCTTTCAGAGGCAGTACATCACATGGGAGGAGATTGTCCTTCCTTCTGCAGAGAACCTGGTAGATTCCAACTGTGTCTTTGGGATTGCAGTACAACTTCTTACCACTAGGTCACTCATATTGTTGTGGTGTTGAGTTCCATCAAGTTGAAACCAACTCATAGCTGATTCCAGCAGGTTTTCAGATGCAGTAAATCACATAGGAAGAAACTTCCCATTCTTCTCCTGCAGATCAACTGGTGGATTTGAACTGCGTGTCTTCAGGATTGCAGCACAGATTCTTATGACTAGGCCCCAGAGCTCCCTAGGTCACTCATAAACATCTTTTAGACATATATTTTTATCTTACTAGGGTTATGTTATTTACCCACCAAATCATATTTGTCAAGATCCAATCCAGAGACAGAAGTACACCTGCTATTCTAATGAGAAAAATGTACAGTGTTGCTATCATTCTTAACAATGTTGTTAACTAGATGCAAGGCTGTTATTTGGTAACTAATACAGGAAAAAGAGAGCATTAGAATATCATGAGGAAAGTCAGTAAAAGAAGCAACTACGATTTCAAAGATGGAGGATACAAAGAAATAGGCTGCAGCTATTAACATTTAGAGGCTTGAAGAGGGAGATGCCTAGCTGATAAGCGGTCTGAGGAGAAGCATCATTTGACATTTCTATGACTGCAAGTTGTTGAGGGTTGGAGAGCTTGTGCAACCTAAACCAATATTCCTAAGAAAGGGATGGTTATCAGTTAGGGTCATGTCTCTGTAGAGGACACGGTGAAGCTGTTTCTGCAAGTGTTGCATAAACTGCCCGTTAGATTCAGTTACGCTGATGTGAAGGCACTTATCTTGAGGTAAAATGTAGGTGGGCCCAAGCTCACTGAGAAGGAAAAGCACCTCCCTTCTCCCTGTCGTCACGCAAACTCCTGCTAGAATCCTTTCCAGACAGCATCTAGCGGAGAGCCAACTGACAAAGCAGAAACACATGGTTCTAAACCCTCACTGGAGTAGTTTAGGATGAGATGTTTGTCACAAGAGGAAATGACTTTGAAAGTGAAATTTGGCTTCAAAAAAATAAAATTATGCACACTTTTTCATTAATTTTCTCGGAAAACCTACTAACTCTTTTGCTAACTTATACTTTCTTTCTCTTCTAAATATGCTACCCATGATTGAAGAAGAAATGAAAAAAGATTTTTTATTAATTTTTTAAATAATTTTAATGAGCACTTACAGAGATTTTGGATTTCCATTCATTCATTGCTGCCTTTCTCTTCCCGCCCATCCCTCCCTGCCCCCCAGTTTGCTCCTCTCTTTCAAAAGTAAAAGAAACACTTCTTCCCTGGTACACAATCCCCCCGCACCCCTCCCACCGCCCCAAGTACATTCCACTATGCAACCTTAATTGTGGACTCCTGTGATAACCATAAGACCCTATCATGCATCACTTTTAAATTGTTCACTCCCTCACCTGTTTCAGTGCAATATAAACAATTTATCCAGTTTTTCTCAGTCTTACGCCAGCCCTGATATCTCAGCCCCATTTTACAACACTGGCACCATGCAATATTTGTCCTTTTGCATCTGAGATATTTCACTCAGCATAATGCCCTCCAGGCTCACCCATTTTGAATAATATTGCATGAGTTCCTTGTTTTTCAATGCAGCATATTATTCCATTGTGTGAATATACCACAGCTTCTCTATCCATTAATTTGTTGATGGGCACCTGGGTTGTTTCCAACTCCTTGCTATTGTGAACAGAGCCGCAATAAACATGGGTGTGCATATATCTGCTTGCATGTCAGTTATGGTCTCTTTGGGATATATTCCTAGTAGTGGAATATATTGGTCAAATATATTGGTCAAATGGTATCTCAATTTGCAACTTTTTGATTTTTGAGGGACCTGCTTTCCATCCTTCCACCTGGAGAGCAAATCTATCTTTCTCTAATGAAACAAGTTTCAGTAGCCCCCTCATAGTTATTTTCCTAAGGTCTTAGTTGTTACTGTGAATGGGCAGCGTGTATTGTTGCAATGATAAAATTTCCCAGGGCCTGGCTGATGACGCGCATTCCATCCGCTGAAGTAAACAGGACATTTTATACTAACTCAGTCAACCTCTTCACGTCCCATTTAATTCTACTTATCAGGATACAGACAATAACCCAAAAGCATTTGGAAACAAAAGAAATTGTGGTGATGTAAACATAATGAGCTTGTCTGCTTTGAATTAAGATGCTCCGGTAGCCTACTGGCAAGAAGCTATGATGCAATCCCGAATGTACATGGTTTGAGGCCACCAGGCACTCCACGGGAGAAGGATGGGCAATCTCCCCCCGCCGTGCAAATAACTGCCTCTGAAAACCCACTGGAGGGTCAGCTATGGGTCGACTCCTAACTCAATGGTAGAACAACAGCAAAGTTGCTTCTTTGAATAACAAAGTTATTCTTGTCATTTGCAGGTTACCAGGAAATATTTAATTGAAGAAAAATGTATAATGTGTCTAAATTAAGTCAAAACAAGTAATTATTCCCATTATATTCATGTAAATCAAATCTCTTAGTTGTATAGTTTGGTGATCTGGTCTTAATGAGGACAGGTGCACAAAAAATTTTACCCTTTTCCAAATAAGTATTTGTATCCAGTCTGCTTAAAACAAACACTTTCTGAATGAAGTTATGCTAATCTTATTATACTGGTTTTGTCCTGACACTCACATTCTGAAACGCATTACTATATGTAAATAGATTAATGGAGTTAGAAACAGGCCTTGCAGAGATTATTTACATAATTCTCTATAATCTTATCAACCAACAGTTTCTTTATAATAGTTACCAGTGATGCTACGGGGCCGGGGGTTGGGGGGATTATGTTTATTTTCAAAATAGCAAAAGTCTATAAAGTTGAAAGCACTCACCTGTTAACATCCCAGATTTTACAAGTTTTATCCAGGGAGGCAGAAGCTACAAAGTCACCACCGGAGTGCCAGGTGCAGGACCATACGGAATGGTTGTGTCCTTCAAAGGTCAAGATGCATTCACCTTTATTTAGGTCCCATAATTTAACTGTAGCGTCACCACTTGAAGTAGCAAGCTTGTCTTCACTATGTGAAAGAAAATAATATATAAAAGATATTTTGTGGAATGTTTTTGTGAATGACTGAATTCTATAGTTAGTGTGTGTAATATTATTTTATTTAGCAACCTATCCAAAACCCTAAATCCTACTATCTTATTTAGAGCTACACAGTTATTTTCTTTGATGATTTAGCAATTCAGAATGTTTGGGGAATCGGTGCTGTGTGTCACTTCAAGATTAATTTATTAAATCATTGTGGATGTTGTAGCCTCAGAACAATTGAAACTTAAGCATATGATTAGGGTATCTCAGCAGCATAATACAATACCAACAAGCAGGTCAGCATTGTGTAAGTGTCGATTAATGAAAATTTCTGACAGTATCATTTGGATGATAAAGAAGAGCAGGAAATGGATGGGTTTTGAGATGAATAAACAGAGATGGAAGGGATTTTGTAGCAATGGCATCTACTTCCTGAATAACATGCCTCAGGAAACCCTATGAATTTTATGTCAATAATTGTAGAGCGGCTTCAAGCCTTTTGTTCATAAGGTTACTATGAGTCATGCTCGACTCTATGGCAATCAACAAGTGTTTGAGGAAGTCACTAAATTTTGAATCTCTAGTAGATATTTTTATGGTACATGTTAACAAGTAATGGACATAATAAAAGTGTTAGCAATGTTACAAGTGGTATCAATGACAACAGCACTGATACCTCCCTGGATGTCTGAAAAATAATCAGAACTTGATTACAATAAACATAAAAAATAGGAAGTAAAAAACAAGTATTATTTTGAAAGGAATTCCTTCTCCCCCCAATATATAATAAAAATCACTCAGCTAATGAGCATGCAATCTCAAAGCTAGAGAAAACAAAGCTAAAAACATAGTAAATAGAGGATTGACAAAGACTAAAACTGATTCTTATAAATGATTAATAAATAAATCTGTGCAACAATGAATGAATGAAAACCCAAAATCTCTATAAATGTTCATTAAAACTAATAAAATTTAATAATAATTTAAAAAAAGAAATAAATCACTGAAAAGGCTGTGATAATGAAGAAAGAGAAGACCCTTCCAAGGTACCCATAAAGCTGGAAATTAAAGACACTGAAAATAATAATTAAAAAAGCATTGTTTTCAGTTAAATTTCTATTTATACAAAATAATTAAGCAAACTAATCAGGAAGATAGTCTCAAATATTGATAAATTTATAAATAAACTTTAACAATAAAATGGATGGATGGATGGATGGATGGATGAATGGATGGATTTTTAATTGGGAGCTCAAGTAAGTCACTCCAGGAAGGTGCATGTAGGGGCCAAGACCTGAAGGATGAAACTAAGGCTACACTTTCAAGAGCAAAGGCCAAACTTCTAGGCAGACCATCAAATGAAACGTGCCCAAGAGTGGGAATGGCCTGCCCAAGAAGTTTTAAAGTCAGCATGGTGTGTAAGAAGCAAGGAAGAATGTTTAAGAGATGGCCTGAGAACTTGGAGTAAGCAAGGGCACACTGGTTACAGCCAGACCTTTAGAATTTAGTCATTGTGGGAACTGATTTGTTACACAGGAGATTCACTTGTTCACTCCACTATTGGTTACCATACTCCAGACCTTGGGATAGCAACCTCAATCAATTACCACCTTTCCACGCTTGTGACAGTTTCACAGCACACAAAGCATGCTTCTGTTAGTACAACGCTCCACTATTTCTCTGATATTAGAATTTTATGCCCCTAGAAACCCTCCATAGTTCTCTCCATGATTTCATTAAAACTTTTCCTCAAACTTCACTTTATTAGAGAGGCCATTTCTGACTACCGTATTTAAAAGAACATCTCAGACACTTTCTGCCTTGCCTCTATTTCTTATATTACCTTAGTTTTCCACTAAGACTTATTCCAAACTTAAAAAAAAACACACATTATTTTGTTTATTATTTCTCTACCTGTCCATGGAGTGTGATGTACATAAGGGAATTGTCTTTTTCTTGTTTGTTTCATATTCACTACTGTAAACCACCTGAATTTCAGAATCATCTTAAGACTAGATTTGAAGCATCGAACATCAATGGTCAAAGACCAGGTAAGCTGTGTGATGACAACAAGAGGCTGTTATGCAAAGAGAGCAAGGGAACACTTGTTGTTGTTGTTGTTGTTGTTAAGTGCCATCAAGTCATTTGCCACTCAGAGTGACCCTATGTACAACAGCCCTAAACCCTGCTCTATCCTGTGCCAATCGCACTACCTCTGACACACCCATCCCGATTACCCCAGTCACTGAATCAATCCATCTCATAGAGGGTCTTCCCCTCTTGCACCATCCCTCCACCCTCCCAAGCATTATGTCCCTCTCCAAGGATCTGCCCCTCCTTGCAACATGCCCAAAGTATGTCAGACGAAGCCCCAGAATCCTTGCCTCCAAGGAGTAGCTTGGTTTAACCCTCTCTAGGATGAATCTGTTTGTTTTCTTGGCAGTCCATGGAACATTCAATACTCTTCTCCAGCACCACAGCTCAAAGGCATCAATTCTCCTTCTGTCCTCCCTAGTCATTGTCCAACTCACTGATGGATAACAAGTGATTGCAAAGACCATGACCTGTATCAGGCGCACCTTAGTTTCCAGAGAGACACCGTTGCTCTTGAGTACTTTAGAGAGGTCTCTGACAGCAGACTTTCCCATCATAATATGTTTTTTTGATTTCCTGACTGCTGGTGCCAAGAGTGTTGACCGTGGAGCCAAGCAAACTGAAGCTGTGAAAAATCTCAAACTCTTCGCCATCCATCCTGATGCTACCAATTGGTCCAGTGGTGAGAATCTTTGTCTTCTTGACATTGAGCCTCAGTCCATACTGAAGGCTGCAGCCCGTACCCCCTGCAGAAATTACATGAGGTCCTCCTCAGTTTCAGCAAGCAGGATTGTATCATCTGCATAGCGTATATTGTTAATAGATCTTCCACCAATCCTGACACCACAATTCTCCTCATAGAGCCCAGCCTCCCGGATAATCTGCTCTGCATACAGGGTGAAAAGATATGGAGACAGGACACATCCCTGGCATACACCGTTCCCAATTTTGAACCATGCAGTGTTACCCTGCTCTGACTACTGCTTCTTGTTCCAAGTGTAGGTTTCGCATGAGCATGAGTAAATGTTCTGGGATTCCCATTCTTCTCAGAGTCAGCCATAGTTTGTTATGATCCACACAGTCAAATATCTTTGCATAATCAGTGAAACACAGATAGACATTCTTCTGGTATTCCCTGCTTTCAGCTAACATCCATCTAACATCAGCTACAATATCCCTCGTACCACGATCCCTTCTAAACCCAGCCTGGACTTCTGGCAGTTATCTGCTGATGTGCTGTTCCAGTCGTTTTTGGATAATCTTCAGTAGAATCTTGCTTGCATGTGAAATCAATGATATTGTTCTTTGGTTTTCACACTCTGTTGGGTCACCCTTCTTTGAAATGGAAACAAATATAGATCTCTTCCAGTCATTTGGCTAAGTTGTTGTTCTCCAGATTTCTTGGCACAACTTGGTGAGCACATCCAGGGCAGCATCTGTTAGCTGAAATACGTCAATTGGTATACCATCTATTCCTGGGGATTTGTTTTTTACTATTTCCTTCAAAGCAGTATAAAAAAAGGAGTGTGTAAGGGTTGTATTCTTTCACCATATTTATTAATTCTATATGTAAGAAAATCATTTATGAAGCTGGACTCTATGACGAAGAATGTGATATAAAGATTGGAGAAAAATCCATCAATAGATTGTGCTATGCAGATGATACAACTGAGCTTTCTGAAAATGAGGAGGAGTTGTTGTAGAAGATTAAAGAACACAGCTTTCAATATGGGCTGCATCTCAACATTAACAAAACAAAGTATTTTCCCACTGGACAGATAAGCAATATCATGATATATAGATAGAAGAATGAATCTGTTAACAACTTCAATTTACTTGGATCTATTAACACACTTGGTATCAGTAGTTGGGAAATCAGGGGACATACTGCACCGGTAAAGTCTGAATTCAGACCTTTCTGAGTTAGTGAGAAGCAACAATGTCTGAGGACAAAGGTGTGTCTGATTCAATCATGTTCTTTGTGATCACTTGCTATGTGTCTGAGAGCTAGACAATGACTAAGGATGATGCCTTTGAGGTGTGGTTTTGGAGAAGGACATTGAACTTCCCATAGAATTCCAAAAGAACATATATATCTTGGGGAAAGTGTAGCCACATGCTTCTCAGAGGCAAAGATGATAAAGCTTCATCTCATGTGTATGAGAATGTTCCTTGGAAAGGCTATTCTGTGGAGGGGACATCAGGCTTGGAAAGGCAGAGGTCAGCAAAGGAGAGGAAAATCCTCAGTTGGATGGAGTGACACAGTGACAATGGACTCTAGTGTGTCAGAAAATGTGACGATGGCACAGGATAGGACAGGGTTCAGATCTGTTGTTCAGGGGGTTCTTAGAAATGGTATGTCACTCGATGGCACCTAACAACAATAGCAACACTGTAACTCAATACCTAGAACGATGTTTGGCAGAAGAAAGACCACAATAAATTGTTGCTGAATAGAATAAAAAGTAAATGAAATACAGCACTGAACATGAATTATTCCTCAAACGTATTTACCTCTCACCTTTAATGGATAATTCAAAACCTTTTTTTTCCAGTTTATTTAAAGATACAATGACAAATGTAGGCAAATGAGCCGTATACTTCACTGTGCCACTGTCTTAACCTGGCTATTTATTTTCTTTAAAAAGGCTTATCTTATAACATAGTCAATTATTGCCTTCCCAATTTTTCCTGAGCTATTACACATATAAACAATTCAGATTATCCTCAAGGATGTTATAATCTAACCTCAATAAAAGATCATATGTCCAATCACCCGCTATGATTTTAAAAATGCATAACATAATTAGTTGAATGAATAATTAATTCCCATAAAGTAAATTTCAAAAATAAATATCCTTTGAGAAAAGTCAAAATTAATGAATGTTT